GGAGAAGAGTATTGACTATACCATGGACTGCTAGGAGAACGAACAGGTTCATCCTAGAGAGGGTGAGACCAGGTTGCTCCTTGGATACAAGGATTCTGAAGTTTGATCTGATGTACTTTGGGCATGTTTCAAGGTGGGACCAATCCTTGGAGATGGACATCATGTTTAGGAGGATGGGAGGACAGCGGAAGACCTTCGATGAGATGGATTGATTCAGTGATTGGAGTAATGGGAGTAGGTGTGTCAGAGACAATAAGATTAGCACAGGACAGAACAGGGTTTAGGGCTGTTGTACATAGGGTCACCATGAGTCGCAGGCACATAACAATAACAATGTCCTGTTGGGTTCTGCTCACTCTGGCTGGACTATGGAGCATATGTACAGATGACCTTGAATCACATGAGGCCTCATACATATACATCCGCAGGCTTCTTGCTTAATTACCTCCATGAGCACTAAGTTGGCACATAGTAAATATTCAATGCACCTTTAAATGAGCAGGTTAACTGAGGGGTAGAATAGAAGTTCCTTATTTCATGGCCTCATTTGTAAAGGGATATGTAGTGACACTCCCCAGTTGTGCTGACCTTAATACTGTACCACAGGTGACATTTTCCAATACCAAGGTCTAGTATCTCTTGGTCTAAGGGGAATCTATTTTAAAGCTGGACTTTACTTTTTATAAACAACTAGTTACTTAGCTTATTCCATAGATATTCTTTCTGTTTCCTGAAATGTAGGGAGAGATCTGTTGATTCCATTCTGGAGTACAGCAGACAACCCTTTTGATTGCAAAAGCTGGGTAAGTACATCTCATTCTCTAATTTCTGTGGAGGTGGAATCAATTCATAGCTGACTCTCCAAGTTCATTTCCTGCCACTGTAAACTATACAGGAGGAGATTTCAAAAATTTCTCCTTGAGAGCCATGGGTGAATTTGAAGCACCAGAGAGAAGCTGTTTTAGGTTTGTGGTGCAGCTCCCTATGGACTATGCCTCAAGAGCAACCTGTTTAAAGAAATGGGCTTAAATAGATAGATAAGGAGTTCTGGTGGCCTAGTGTTAAGGAACTGCACTGCCCAAGGGCACCCGCTTCAAATCCACCAGACGCTACACTGGAGGAAGACGGCAATCTGTTCCCACGTGATTTATTACCTCTGAAAACCTGCTGGAGGGTCATCTGTGAATTGATTTTGACTTGATGTACACAACAACAACAACATATAAACAGACCAAAGAATTGACCAAGAATATCTTTACTAAGCAAGTTACCCCACAAAGAATGTGATCCACCATATAAGAATGACATGAAATAAGTATTTCTCATTTTGAAGTCTGACTAAAAGGTTAGAGAACATAATCATATGTATCTGTGTGTTCAAGTGTATTTGTATATGAATCTCTGTGTGTATGTATCTTGAATGTGCATTTATATGTATATTTCTGTATATACAAATACATGGATGAGGTTATAGGTGGGCTGCTGTTCTTGTCTGTGTACTTTTGAGTCAGGACTGACTCATAGCTGATCCTTACAGTGTATTTTCAGAGCAGTAAATCACATAAGAGTTGATTGCCCATCTTTTTCCCACAAGAACTGCTGGCAGGTTTGAACCATATGCCTTTGGGCTGACAGTGCAATTCCTTACCACTAGGCTACCAGAGTTTTCCTAAAGATGTGAGTAGATTTATGATATATGATATATGTGATATGTATGTATGTCCTTGTTATGTGCCATCAAGTCAGAACCGGAAAATATATATATATATAATCTCCGTAAATGTATGTGTGTTTCTAATTGTTAGTGTGTACATAGTAATGGAGAAACAGACTGATCTTTTTGAGGTTAAGGTAGAATTAGGGTGAAATACGAGTGTGCTACAGAAGTATGATGTGCAGTTAGGTGCCGCTGAGTGTGATGCATAGCACTATGAATAGAGGATCTGAACCTGTTCTATCTTGTGCCATCCTCACAATCTCTGACACACTCGAGCTCATTACTTCAATCATTTTGCGATCAGCCTGGTTGAGGGTTTTCCTCTCTTTTCCTGTCCCTTCACCTTTCCAAGCATGAAGTTCCTCTCTAAAGAATAACCTCTCCTAGCAACATACTCAAAGTATGTGAGATGATGCTTTCTCATCCTTGCATCCAAGGAACACTTAACTTATGATATTTAAAGCTTATTATCAAATGGAAATACTCTTGAGTGAGGCCTAAATTGTGGGAAATAAGGTTGATGTTTAGACGTTACTCTTATTTGCTTATAATGTGACTTTTATTTGTAACTAAGCTGACTTTCAGGATCATGGTATTTGGATTTAAGAGATAGTGTAGATTCAAGGAAAAGGACCTGAATATGGAATCGAGAGGTTCAAGTCTTTCTATGGACATTTATTCTGTGACTTTGGGCACATCTTAGCCTATTTTCTCAAAAGTTGTTGTGCACTGTAGAGTTGGAACTGATCCATAGTTGATGGGTTTTTAGAGGCAGTTAATCTCACAAGAGGACATTGCCCATCCTTCCCCTGTGGAACAGCTAGTGGCCTCGAACTGCATGCTTTCAGGATCACAGCCCAGCTTCTTGTCATTAGGCCATCAGAACTCATTTATAAGATTAGGTTAAAAATACCAACCTGAGACTCATCCAGAGGTCTAGGAACAAAATTTAATGGTTGGTATGATATTCACAGTAAAGAAAATGAAACATGATATGTGAAAACCATTAAACTTGCCGAAAAACTCTATCTAAACAGGAATTAGTCTTATGTCTGAACTTTGGTTAACTTTTATTTTCCAGAGATAATAATAGAAAAAAAAAAAGGAGCAAAGAGAGTTTGTTTCTACGCAAAGTGGCCTGAGGGTTCTTCTGGGCCATCAGAGAGAGAGAGATTAGCAGATTAGCACTTGGGAGTGGGGGTCTCATTGGTCAGTGGATGAAAGCTTTATCTCCAAAGGAGGACTCTTAATTCATCAGGAGTTTATGAGATTGACATGATAGACACCTTCTGTTGTCATTAAAAATGTGTAGTGAAACAGATCTTGTTTGTAATTTTATGTGATTCTGAATGGAACATAAGACTCAGAGAGTCACTGAAAACTCAGAGAAGGCACAGAAATTTCGTTAAAGGAGACTTGATAGGAGGTAAAGTGGTAGACATAGTGATTGGGTTAGAAGCCTAATCTTTCACTCTTTCAATAGAAGAGTCATCGGGGGACTTGATAGGCTCTGTTTAAGAAATATTTGGTGGTGGAGAGGAGGCCTGGAGGGGAAAATGCTCTTACAGGGACACGACAACTACTGAAGAAACCCTTTTAGAAACAACATACAATACAGAGAAATACAAACTATTGGGAAGTAGTCATTGAAAAAAAAAGTGAGATACTTCTGGCTTTTAGAGAAGCAAGACCACCTACCAGGATGACTTCTGTATTCTTTTGTGATGAGTACTGTGAAGAAGACAGTCTGATAAAGTTGAGTTTCTCTAGATTTGTTGTAACCTCTCAAACTGAAATCCTTATAGCAGAGCCAGTGTCTGGGGCACAAGATTTAAGGAGGCTCTCTCTCAGTGCCTCCTTAAATTTTGCCTCCCTCTAGGCCAGGACCTGTCTGGGAGACATTTGAAGTGACATGACCACAGGAAGACCCATTTGTCCTTGCTCTCCCTATGCAGCTCATGTCCGCCAGATCCGCTTAAGATCTGTCATTGTGGACTAGGACCCTTCTAGGATACTCCCACAGGACAGGACTTCAGCTTCAGCAGAACTTTTGTGACACTGGATCCGTGGAAAGATTGTCAAAGGCAAACTCTCAGGGAAGGAAGAGAAAACAAGATTTTGAAAGTTTGATTTTCTACCCAAAGTACGATTTTGCTGGATTACATCAGTGTCTCCAAACCTTTCTGTGTGGAGTTGTTTCTTAATTCTGCAAAACTGCTGTCTCTCTGGGTGGAAGGTGCTATTGGTGGAAGTGGGAGCCTCAGAAGATGCAGATAGGATGGTGATGTCCTTGAAAAGAGGGTATGAAGAACCCAGGGCAGGGGCTGGGGACAGTGGCTAGAATGGCAGTATCTGGCAAGGAAATGTGTCTGTGGGACTGGAATCTCCCTGACCTACACAACGTGGACCTCTTCTCCATAGGTTCTCTCCTTCCTTTTGAGCTTGCTCATATGCCGCTGTCAAGTTGATTCTGAGTGATAGTGACCTTATTAAAGGACAGAGTAGAACTGCTCCATTGGGCTTCTAAGGCTATGTTCTTTACGGAAGCAGACTGCTCTGTATTTCTCCTGTGGAGCCATTGATGGGTGGGAATTGCCAACCTTTTGGTTAGAAGTTAAGTGCTTTAGCACAAGGGCTCCTCTTATATAGCATCTTAGAAACAAAATATCAAAACCCTTTCTTCCCCCTTTCATTGTCCAGGTAGTTCATGTCCCCTCCTGTCATCTTTCCCCCCACCCCTACCTGTCATTCTTACCAAATTTTTCCTTATATATATCATATGCCCAACGAGCTCTCTACTCCCTGGGACTAACTCATGTTCCTTTTAGATTTCTGGAAAATTCAGTCACCGAATTAAGCAGATGAATGTCGTTTACAAACTAGTGTCTCTCTGTTATTTTACTTTGTTATTTTGCAATTATATACTTGATATAATTTCTACACATATTTTATTTGACACAACTCTTTGTGGTCAGTACTGCCATCCCCATTTTATGGATCAGGAAACTGAGGCTGAGGGGACATGTGACTTTCCCAAAGGCAGCCAACTAGTAAGTGCTACATTTGGGACCAGAACTTAGATCTTGGATTCTCATTCTTGCTGCCCTGAGTCTTATGACTTCTCCAGCCAGCCCAAAGATGGGCCTGTGCAGAGCTTTAAGAATGCTTCCAATCTGCTAAACCCAGATTTTCCTCCTATCCTGACCCATCACTTGACTTCAGGTTTTGCTGAAGCCAGTGCCTTCTGCTGCATCCTCTGCCCCACACCCAATCAAGCCCTCACCTGGGTGGTCCAGATGGGACACTATTAAGTAGATGGCGAATTCCAGGAAGGAGCAGTTGCAATTCCAGGGATTTCCACTCAGATAGAGGGCCTTTAGAGTTGCCAGGTGGTGGAAGGCATCGTGGTCCAAGATCTGCAAGCCGTTATTCCTGAGGTCCAGGTACCTTAAGGAGGTGGTGTTGGCAAAGGTGTACTTGTGAAGAAACGACAGGTGAGGGTTGTTGGAGATGTTCAGCTGCACCAGGTTGCTGAGCACGGAGAAACTGTGTGGGGAGATCAAGGTTAAATTGTTGAAGCTGAGATCAAGGTAGATGAGTCTGAAGACCCCGATGAAGGTATAGTCCATCACCTCTCGAATCTGGTTGTGCTGACAGTCCAAGTAAACAAGGTCACTGAGGAGACCTAGATTCATGGCTGGCAAGTAGGTGATTCTGTTATTGTCCAGGTACAGCCTCCGAGTGTCCAGGGGAATGTCAGAGGGATATGCAGTTAACTGCTTTCCTGAGCACGTCACTTCTTGGGTTTGACACAGACAATTTTGTGGACACTTTGACCCTGATACCAGTCCCATTCCAAAGGAAAAGAGTAACCACCTGGCTCCAGGGCCTGAAGCAAAGGACATAGTAAGGAGCCGCAACTACCCTCCTGCCACCTTCCTGCGGGTGCTTCCCTCTGATCAGAAGGCTAGCGAGGGGGCAGGGCGGGAGGAGGGGGCGGGGGAGCTGGAAAGAACAGTAGCACTCTAGCTTTCTGCAAAGCAATTTTCCATTACAGGAGAACCGAACAGAAGTTGAAATGCGAGGCCCAGTGCCCCGCTGCCAGGCTTGGTGGCTCTGCCGATTGCTCACTCTCAGACTGCTGCTGGAAACTTGCCCACTTGGCAGCTTTGAAAGGACTCACCCTTTCCCTGTGTTGCAAGTGAAGGGGAGCCAGGGGAGAGCCACATGACAATGAGGTTGCCAGTTGACACCTTTGTGATGTCAGCAGCCTCAGGAGACTGCCTGGCTGAGGGAAAGGCAGCCCTCAGTTTGCCTTCAGGGTGGTGTGGGGGTGTTTTGTAGAGCTCGGTAAGCTGGGAATCCCTACGGGAACTGGCCTTCTTGGGTAGGGGTCTGGTGTGTGTGTGTGTGTGTGTGTGTGTTCAGGGACGCAGGGTACCTATGAATGAATGGCCAGGGCCAGCCTGCGCCTCCGTTAGCTCACCACAGAGGGGTAGCAGAGGGTTAAGTTAGATAGGACAACCTCCCTCAACCCCTCAGCTGTAGAAGGAAAGCAGAGAGTCTCTAAGTCAACTCCCTTCTTTACCGATGAGAAAACTGACTTGCTCAAGATGCATTCTACAAGCTGGTTTTCTTCTTGGATTTGCAATTTGAATGGGTGATATTTTTTGGTATTTCCCAGACATTTTAGAAAAGAGGACTTCTTGAAATAGAGCAAGAGAAATTTCTCTCATAAAGTAACCCTTCTTTACAAATTTTGTTTTCAGGTGATACATATCTTGGCCTGTCTTTGGGAAAATGTGTGTGTGTGTGTTTGTGTGTGTGTGTGTATCTATCTCACCATTTCAATGAGTACAAACTTCTTCCTCCCTTCCCCCAACCCCCTTCTCCCCAACACATCCTTCCAACCTCAAATGTACTTAAAAAAATCAGGATGCGAAACTAAGAACGTTTTCTTACCATTTGCATTCTCTTTGGACTTAAAAAAAAAAGTGAGTGCTTTTCTGTGTGCTTCAGGAATGAAAACGTATTTTTGGGAAAATAGAGTTCATTTTTCCAACACAAGCTATGTAAATCTATAAAGTAATGACACCTCTCTTTGGCTTGGCACATGTATAATAGATATTTGTTTAATGAATGGTGCGTGAATGTCTCTGATCGTTTTTGTCCCCTTGTGTCTTTGCCAAGAGAGAAGCTAATATACTCAAGTGGATTTGTGGTTAGTTAGCTAATGTTTGATTATGTTTACTTACTCAGCATTCCTGGGGTGACTGGCCATGATTAATAAGATGACTTAGGAGTGTTTACCAAATTGAGAGTGACCTTATTTGAGTAGAAATTTCAAATACTTAAAGTAATGGCCCGAATGAAAGGATGGCTGTGCTAATTGAAACATCATTTTATTGATAGGAGAGCCACCCTTTCCTGATGATGAAAATAAAATCCTATTAAAGGAAGTTCCTTTTTAGATTTGATGTGATTGCCCAGGGGAGGAATTAGGTGCATGCGAATTCATTTCGAGAGTGACCATTTTCTCTGGGAGCTGGGGTGAGGCATGATTCATCCACGTGAGAGGTGTAGGGACACTGTGTTCCAAGTAGGGTGATCGTCAATTTTCCTGTCAGGACTTCTGGAGAGCTTTTCCTTATTCTTCATCTTATCTTGTACCTCATTACGCCTTCTTTTGTATTCTTTTTTTCCTTTCCAGGGGCTCAATGATTTTAAGTTGCTACATTTTCAGCCTCCTTTAAAGTGCCTAGGTGCATAAATCATTTGACTAAGCATCAAATTACAGGGTTAATGGTTTAAATCTACCCTCTAGTGAATGGAACGAATAAAATGGAATAAAAGCCTGGCTAGCTACATCCATAACAATGAAAAAAAAAACCCAAAACCGAAACACCCCACTTGATTGCCATCAGGTTGGAACTCACTCATCACTGATCCTGCGCTGGGTTTCTGAGGCTGTAACTCTCCCAGGAGAAGCTTGCTCATCTTTCTCTGATGAGTTAAAACCACTGGAGAGGCACCACTTTTGGGACAGTAGCACAAAGCTCCTTCTGTCAGGTTCAACTCATTGCTACCAAGTTGGACCTGACTCAAAGCTGAATATCAGCAGATTTTCAGATGCAGCAAATAATATAGGAGGAGATTGCTCTTCCTTCTCCCACAGAGCAGCTGGTGGCTTTGAACCACGTGTCTTTGGGTTGGTAGCACAACTCCTTACCCACTAGGCTACCAGAATGCCTCTGCTGAGTGCAGTTCTATTCTGTTAAGGGTGATGTCATCGTGATTTGGAATTGACTTAGTGATAGTGGGTTTGGTTTTCTGGTTCATCTGGACTAACTTTCTAAAGATATCAGCCTCAGGCTCAGCTATATGACTAGTGTTCTTTCTTGGAAAAGACTGAATTGAGCAAATGACAGAGGTTACTGGCCTGCATTAGTGTAAACACAGTGTGGTAGGTGCTGAGGAGACATCATCTGACGTCTGATAACATAACAAGGGAGAAGAATCCTAATCAACAGCAACAACAATGCAAAGACAGTTCCAATGAGCTCACTCATGCCCTCTCCTCCACACTTTCTTCTACTGATACCAGCACCAACTGTCTTTCCACAGCTCTCTTTTCTCTACCACTTAGTTCAGTAACTCATTGCAGTGGCCACACACAACTCACAGACAATATTCATGATTATGGTATTTGTTATGGAAATAAGGGATTACAATTCAGGTTGGAAATACTTGGAATAAATACTTCAATCAAGAAACGCTCTCCTGAACTGTTTGAAAGCAATATATGATCAGGTGTTACGGTCTTGACAAGAGTCCAGAATAAAGGTTGCATAGTGGAGTGTATTCGGTGAGGGGAAGATTGTAAAACAATTAAAGAATTTTTCTTTTACTTTTCAAAGAGAAGAGCAAACTGGGAGGGGAGGAGGAAGAGAAGGGTGGGCCAAGAGAAAAATGCAACAATAAATGAATGGAAATCCAAAGTCTCTGTAAAAGTTCATTAAAATTAATAAAGACAAAAAAAAAAAGAAACCCTCCCCTCCCCCATGATCATTGGTGGACTTGGCTTTGGACTCTGCTCTTCTTGGGCAAGTGGCACAAACCTCTTTTAGTTCTGTGTTCCTCTGCCAGTGAGCCTGGGCTTGAAGGTGCTTGAGTAGCTCCATGGGTCAGCAGACCCAACATGACATTATCCCACATTGGTCTCTGATTTTCTTCCCCCTCTCTCACTCTCACCACTGCCATTGCCATGACTGCTGTGATCTCTCTCTGCCTCGTTCTTTTTCTTAATCTTTGATTCATACATGCATTTCTGACCCAAAGGACATAACTGTATTTGCTGTTGCTTCTTTTTTGATGGTAGTTAGATTTCCAATTTCTGGATCAGAGGAAGACTCATCAACAACTTGCACTATGCAGATTACACAATCTTGCTTGCTGAAAGCAAGGGGGAGCTGAAGCACTTGTAGAAGTTCAAAGATTAGCCTGCAATATAGACTACATTTTAACATCAAGAAGACTTTTAGGAAACATCACAATAGAGGGAGAAAGAATGTTAATAATTTTGTCTTGCCTAGATAGGCCGTCAGCACCCTTGGTACTAGCAGTCAGGAGATAAGGAGACATATTGCTTTGAGCAAGTTTGCTATCAGGGACCTCTCCAAAATACAAAGAGCACTAATGTCAGTTTAAAGACTAAGGTGCATCTGATCCAGGCCATGGTCTTTTCAATTACTAGTTATGCCTCTGAGAGCTGGACAATGAATAAAGATGACAGAATAATTGATATCTTTAAGTTGTAGTGTTGGAGAAAAGTCCTGAACAGGAATGTCTTGGAAAAGGTGCAGGTGGAGTGCTCCTTGGAGGCAAAGCTGACAAAGGTTTCTCTGTCATACTTTGGATATGTTCTAGGAGAGGCTGTTCCTTGGAAAAGGATATGACAATTGGAAGGGAGGAAGTGAGAAAAACAGAGGAAGACCCCTCAATGAGATACACTGAGATGGTGACTACAGCAGTGGCTCAAGTGTTTCAGAGATGGTGAGGATGACACAGGATTTGACAGGAAGGTCTCTATGAGTTATACTTGACAGCACCTAACAACAACAACAACAACAACTCTGTACTTGCTTTATTTAAGGCTTCTGGCATGACAAAACTGCATAACCCACATGTACACATCTCATTTGTATCTTCATATTGGAAAGATGCCATTTACCTTTTTGCAGTATTAGCAAGCTATCTAATTCTTTTGATGGACCACAAACATCTAATATTTGCATTGTACCAAGAAATCTAGAGGACAGCTACCTGGCCAACTGACTGGAAGAGATCCGTATTTACTCCCACTTCAAAAAAAGTGATCTGACAGAGTGTGGAAATTATCAAGCAATAATATTCCTATCACATGCAAGCGATATCCCGCTGAACATTATTTTTTTAAAAAAAGACTGAAACTGTACATCAACAGAGAACTGCCAGATGTTCAGGCTAGGTTTAGAAGAGGCTGTGGCACTAGGGACATCATAGCCAAAGTTAGATGAATCTTGGCTGAAAGCAGAGAATACCAGAGGAATGTCTATCAGTGTTTCATTGACTATGCAAAGGCCTTTGACTGTGTGGATCATAGCAAATTGTGGCTAACCTTGAGAAGAATGAGAATCCCAGAATACTTAATCGTGCTTACGTAAAACCTATACTTAGACCAGGAAGCAGTCATCAGAACAGAGCAAGGAAACACCCTAGGGTTCAAATTCAAGAAAAGAATGAATCAGGGATGAATCCTATCTCCATAAATTTCCAATCTATATATGAACCAGATCATTAAGGAGGCTGGGCTCTTTGTGGCATCAGAATTGGAGGAAGACTCATCAACAATCTGCGATATGCAGAT